GTAAAATGTAATCAAATGTGTTCTTGAGATGGTCTCTAAATTCATTGGAATTTGTTTAAGGTCATGTTTTGGCTTTTGTGGATTTGTTTTTATTTTCTTCATCTTCAGCCTAAACTTGCTTATGAGCAATTGATGATTGTTCCACAGATGACCCCTATCATTCATCAGCATCATTCCTATCACCAAGCTGTGTTTTCCAACTACTGATCCACCTCTTCTTTTTTTCCAACCTTTGCATTCCAATCAACAGTAGTTATCAATATATCTTGATTGCTTGTTTGATCAATTTCAGAGTGAAGCAGTTGGTAGAATTCTTCAGTTTTATCATCTCTGACTTCTTTAGTGGTTGGTGCATAAATTGGAATAATAGTGGCATTAACTGCTCTTCCTTGTTGTTGTTGTTAAGTATAGGGTTTACAAGGAGCTGCAGGTAAGCTTGAACTATCAACCATGCAATTCAAACCAGTCCAGCGCATTAACCCACAGTGCCACCATTTGTGGTTCCCAGCATAGTAATCCATACGATTTGATTGTCAGATTCATAATGGCCAATATCAGACCATTTCAGTTCATTAATGCTTAGGATATTGATCTTTATGCATTCCATATCATTTTTGACAACTTATAAATTTTCTTGATTCATACTTCCTACATCCCATGTTGATTATTAATACTTGAAGCTGTTTCTCCTCATTTTGAGTTGTGCCCTATCAACAAATGAAGGTACAGAAAGCTTTAATCCATTCTCCTTATCATGATAATCTCTGCTTTAAGTAGGCTGGTCTTCCCCAGTTGCATTTTGAGTGCCTTCCAACCTGAGAGGCATTATATCTGACAGTATTCTATTGCTATTCGTAAGGTTTTCAGTGACTTAAGCACTCAGGAGTAGACTACTTCCCCTTCTTCCTGGTCTGTGTTAGTATGTGAGTTCCTGAAACATATTCACCCTGGGTGACTGTGTTGTTGTTATTAAGTGCCGTTGAGTCAATTCCGACCCATAGCGTCCCTGAATAAGGTTTCCAAGGAGCAGCTGATGAGCTTGAACCTCCAACCTTGCAGTTCAAACTTTGCAGTCTGGCACATTAACCCACACCCTACTGGTATTCAAAATACTGGTGGCATAACTTACAGCATAACAACAACTTGCAAGCCACCACAGGATAACAAACTGAAAGACAAAACCTACATATGTATTCTCTTTTGGCTAAAATTCATCATGTCTTCCAATCAGCTCACTCTTGCTTTCTTTGTTTACTAAACTTCAATGTATTTTTGTTCTGGTGTGGTGCTGTAGGATAAGGACTGGTGTGCTAGCCGCAAAGTTTGTAGTTGAAACCTACCATTACTCACCAGAAACCGTATACAGCCCTTAACAACAAGGAGTCATTGGAGTCTTGGATGGTGATAATACTGCTCCTATGACCCTTATGTAGTCTACTTTGTGTGTCTTATTTTCTAACTCCATCAACTTCTTGTGATAATCTAGAACCTTAGTGTATTCTCACTGCTTAGGACCAGGAACAAAACAAAGTTTCAAAAATACTTTATAGTGGCTATGTTGATATTTTTAGACTTTTTGTGTTTTTAAAGTACTTTCCCCAACTTTTTTAGTATAACAGAATTTAGAATTAGACTTAAACACAGATTTAACCATAGGAAAAGACCCTTTTTTTTCCTTGAAGAATTAGTTATTAATACTTTGTTTTCCTTTATACGTTGGTAAATCCTACCAGTTTTTAAATAATCTAATTTACATGGTGAAAACTGCAGTAAGTGGCTTATCATAAAATAACTTGTATTGAGCAAGTTGTTTTTTGTTTCATACTTATTCAAAAACTGCATATTTTAGGATTTTAGGATTAGCTTAAAACAATTTTATGAAAAATAATCTTTATGATGAAAGTTGTATTTACTTAGGCTAAATACAGTTATGGAGATTGGAGTAGATGTTACTGTATAAATATAGGTATAATATAGAACTGCTATGTTTTGAAATGTAAACTGGTGGAGGGGTAGCTTGAAAGAAAGGAACTTAATATTATGCCTTTATATGCATAATGAGATCGTTATGTAGGACTATTATAATGCTTTTTTCTACCTTTTTTTCCCAACTTAAAATGAATCGAAAAATAGTATGCTATTTTTATCAATGTTTGTGTACTTTTTGATTTTTACATAGTTTAGGAGTTCACTTAGTAGGAGAATTACTTTGGTGTCTGTATTTGATAAGAGTGTTTTAAAAGAGTATAAATGTTGCTTTTTCTTATAATCATTTCTAAAACTACAAGTCAGCTGTAGAAATCAGTTTTCTGTTTTAACTCTTGTGAACTCAGTCACTTAGCATAAGTTTCTTTTAATTCTGCCTTGTTCCAGAGAGCTCTGTAGAAAATGTTAATGACCCACTAAGCATGCTTTAGTCCCTAATCTTTTCTTTATTTCGTTTGAAATTCTGTAGCAATTGAAACCATTTTTTATGAAGGAAGTTGGCAGTCACTTTGATGATTTTGTGACCAATCTTATTGAAAAATCAGCATCATTAGACAAGGGTGGCTGTGCTGTCACATCTTTTTCTGGTTTTGAAGGAGAGAACAGCCATCGAGCTAAGTAAGTATGCCTATCATTTTCTTTTAATGTGATCATTAGTATAACCTGGTGGTTATTTAACCACTTGAAGCAATAGTTTCTTCATTTCAAAATGTGGATAATAACAAATGTGCATACCTCATTTAAAACTTTGGGGATAATGAATCCTGGTGTGGCATGGTGGAATAATGTTATGAACTTCAAGGTTGTTTCAACTCCAAGGTCTTCAATTCATATTCAGCCAGCTGCTCCTCAGAAACCTATTCAGGGTTCCTAGGAGTCAGAACCATGGCACTTAACAACAGCAGAGGCACATTATGACCTCAGGAAGCGTGGTTGTTAGAGAGGAATGCTGAGCTCCCCATTTCAATGAAGTGTTCCATTACCTCTTCAGGATCCCTGGTAGTGTAGTGGATTAAGAGCTGAGCAGCTAACTGCACCATCAGCTGTTTGAATCTACCAGCCTTCTGCAGAAGAAAGAGGAGGGTTTCTGCTCCTGCAAAGATTTATAACCTCGGAAATTCTATTCAACGTCTCTGTGAGTTAGAACAGACTCAGTGGCACTTCACAACAACAATACGTCTCCAAGGAGCTCTGGTGTTCCTGTGGGGTGGTAGGCATTGGGTTTCTAACTGCAAAGTCAGCAGTTCAACCCACCAGCTGCTCTGTAGAGAAAGGTGTGGCTATCTTCTCCCATAAAGGTTTACACTCTCAAAATCCCTACGTGAGTATCTCTGAATCAGAACTGACTTAACTGCAGTGGGCAATATCTTTCCTCCTAGTCTGGTAGCGTAGTGGTTATGAATCAGGCTGTGAACCTCAAGGTCAGCAGTTCAAAACTACCAGCCATTCTGCAGGAGAAAGATGAGGCTTTCTGCTCCCGTAAAGATTTACAGCCTCAGAAACCCTGTATAGGGTCGCTATGAGTCGGAACTGACTCCATGGCACACAGCCACCAGATAGATAGTTAGCATTTACCTACCTACATCATAACAGTATTCAGAAGGAAGAAATTAAATAACACACATAAAGCCCTTAATACCTGCCTCATCGTGAGAAAAGTTAATTAATGTTAGATGCTGAAGTAGGTAGTACTCTTCCTCTTACAAATAAGTTAAAATTTCTTAGAATACTTGAAGTACTTACAGTTTGTTTTAATTTTGCTCTTTCCAGAGATCTAAGGGCACCTCCAGAACAAGGAAAGCTCTTTATCGTAAGGCAATCTCTGTTAGAGTGAGTACTTTTAATTACTTATGTTAATTTTTGTTTGAATAAAATAAATAAAAAACCCTACTACTCTGATGTTAGAATCACTGCTTAATTTGAATATTTAATGAGTTTGCTCTACATTCATATAAATTTGTAGTTTGGGTATTTCTTTTACATTCTTTCTCATCATCTGTTCGTATTCTTTGGGATCATCTGTTTCTGTGTCTGTGTCTGTTTCAAAGGATGGAGGGGTTAATATTATCTGGTGTCGGTTAAATTCCTTTAAGTCCTGTCACTGAAAACCAGTTACCAAGATCTAGAACAAGATCTAGGCAAAACCCTTCTTCATGGCAAAACACCTCCTGGTGTGGTGCTGTAGGATCAGCACTGGTCTGTGAACCACAAGGTCATCATCAGTTGAAACCGATGAGGTGTTCCTTGGAAACCCTTAAAGGGGGACTCAAGCGTGACAACAGTAGTGAGGTTGGCACAAGATCAGTGTTTCATTCTGCTGTGCATAAAGTTGCTAGGGTCGGTACCAACTTGGTGGCACCTAACAACAACCTTAAAGAGGAACCGACTCGATAGCACTTAACAACAACACATCTTCTTAATATATAGTTCACTTTGTTTCATCTCTTCTTTGGCTGGTCAGTTTAGAAACCTGGTCATTTTCTAAAATAATTAGGATACTGATAAATAGTTTTTTGAAAGCAATATTAAGAAATAAAAATTATTTGTGAGCACCTCATTTGCAAACTGAAAATTATAGGTGCACTTCCAGTAGATGATGAATATTTCTTCTTTACGCTTTTTGAGTATATCATTTATTTACTTATCTCTTTTTTTAAAGATTGCTGAAATTTAAAACCTGCATTTGAATAGGCCATCTGAGTTGGTTAAAAGTTTTTTTTAAGAGTATTAATATGCTTTTCTTTTAAAATTGCTTATCAAAACTTGCTTTCTGTAAACGAGATTGATGTGTATTATTTAACCTTGATGAGAAGGCCAAAGTTTTCAAAGCATATAATATAGAATTCCATTTCAGTGTTTTACAACACTGTTGTTTGAAGAGATTTTCCTTTTAAAATTTGTTTCTGAGGTAAAAATCAGTAAGATTTCTCATAAAAGGGAACATAGAATAATTTCTATTATTAAACTAAAATTTTAATATTAGAATTGTACAAAAACATTATACAAAGAAAAAAATGAGGTATACTGTGAAAAAAATCAACCAAGAAAATGGAACACATTTTCTTTAGTTCTGAAGGGGTTTTTTATTAGAATTTGAAGATTTTTAATCCAGAGATTTAATGGTACTCTAGATCCTCTGAGATCCATATTTGTGCCTGTTCCAAAGAGAGGTGACCCAACGGAATGCGGAAATCATCGGACAATCTCTTTGATATCTCAAGCGAGTAAAGTTTTGCTAAAGGTAATA